GAAAGTAGATTAGTGATCGCCAGGGACTGGGGGGAGGGCCAAACAAAGAGCAACTGCTTAATGGGTACAGGGTTTCCTTTTGGTGTGATGAAAATGTTCTGGAATTAGGTGGCTGAATGCCATTGTGAATATGCAAAATGCCACTGAACTGCACACTTTGAAATGGTGAATTTTAGTTTATGCAAGGTTTCCCAGTACAAATAAAATGGTGCTTGGCACTCCTGAGGCTGTAACACAACCATTTAGATTAGATTTATAATGAGGTTTTTCCAACATGGAAAATGCTGTTATAATGTTAAGTGAGAAAAGCAGGGGACCAAATTTCCATACAATACAATTTAAAACATAGAAAGAAAATAGAAAAACAGTTTAGAAAAACAGTTAGAGGATAGAGACTAAAATGGTAATGGTGGCTGTCTCTGGGTGGCAGCACTGTTGGCTGATTTTGTTCTCATATTTTTATTTTCTAATACTTTACACTTTTTTCTTTACAAAAATATGTACAGTATCACTTTAATAATGGAAAAAAACACACTTTTTTAAAGTGGGGAAAACAATAAATGTAATTTAAAATAAAAGGGAACTACAATAGAGGCCAAGAGATACAGAGGAGTGAAATCAAGAGAAAACACGCTTCAGGGGAGCAATCATGCAATTTGGACTTGAAAATTGCAAGGGAACAGATGGCAATGTCCAAACAGACATCTGCAACGGATAGCGAAATCATATGCAAAGACACAAGTGGCCTTTGAAGCAGGCCCTTGAGAGGCCCAGTAGAGAAGTCCACTTGCCTGGCCAAAGAGAAGACAAAGCACCTTTTGGCCTTGTCACATCCTGGCCTCCTGAAAGTCTTGCTAGAGGCCTGCAGACTGCAGTGGGACTCAGCCCAAATGGACTTGCATGAGTGAGAGTGCAAAAGAGGTGGTGGGAGAATAGGTCCTAGTAATGATCCCGGCAAACATTTACATGGCTCTCACAGTTTATAAACATTTTCACGTATGTTTTCACAATAACTAAATGCTAGTTGCATTATCTTTCATAATGGCCCTGTGTGGTAGGCAATTACTCCTATCTTATCATGGAAGAATGGAACACAGAGAAGTGATGTGAGTTTATTTATTTAACATTTATATAGTGCTCAGTAGATAACAACCACTGTCCTGAGAGCTTTCACTTACATTAATTGCCCATGTTTACACTCCCACTAGGGGGCAGAATTGAGACTCAGATCCGGCTTTTGCTCATGTCTAAGCAGACTGTAACTGCCTGCAGAGCCTCAAGTAAGGTCACAAGTGGATCGATCTATCATTTATCAAATCATTTATCTATTGATCTATCTATCCATTTATCCATCAGTTTTATTTTTCTGGTTATAAATTTTGAAAATGAAAATATTATATAATAAATAACGTGGAAAGTAAAAATCTCCCTAAATCTTACACCTAAATATTCTTTTCTTTCTTTATTTTTCTGAGAGAAATTTTTCCAATAGGGCATGTGTGCTTGCTGGAGAGACAGAGAGAGACAGAAAGTGAGAAATCACCCCCCACCCCCGGGAGGGAGATAGCAATGCCAACATCTCCTCTCCATTCTCCTCTCAGGATTTTGGACACACACACACACACACACACACACACACACACACTTGTGCCCAACATAAGATTCAAGTCGCCAGGTCTGGACTCAAACTGTGTTCGGCCATGTGGGAGTTCGGCGCTTTAACCACTATGCCATCTGGTAGCCCCAAGATAATAATGTTTGACTGTTTGATGTGAGTTCTTTCAGGCATTTTTCTATGAGTATGCTAACATGTATTTTTCATGGAATAAATACTATGCCTACACTTATATAACTCCCATTTCACATCATTTTAAGTCTAGAGGGACCAGCAGATGGCATAATGGTTACATTGCTGGAATCCCACATGGTTGACTGCGGTTTAAGTACTGGATCTGATGGCTTAAAACTCACACTAGGGACATGTGTATGCAGGCCCAAGATCCTGAGAGGAGAATGGAGGAGAAGGGATTACAGCATTCCCATGGGGTGATTTCTTGCATTTTGTCTGTCTGTCTGTCTCTCTTGGTCTCTCTGGTGAGTGCACATGCTCTATAGCAAAAATCTTTTTTAAAAAAATAATAAATATTAAGCATGAAAAAATAGAAGAGAATGTAGAGGTAGAGAAGGGGCAAGTCATACCCAAACGGTGAGCAAGTGGATGAGAAAGCAAATTTGGCCTATTTCAGTCCTGGGAAGCAAATCTTCATAAATAGAAGTCCCAAACTTTGTCATTCAGGAGTTTGCAAATCTAGAACACTTTACAAGGTATGAGCCACGCAGCCTAGATAACTGGTCTCCCCAAAGCTGAAATGACAGACCGAAAAGTCACTTCATGCTATGTTTTTTTTTCCAGTTGGGAAGGAAGAAGCAGACATGAAAGTGAAGGTTTTGAAATGAGGAAAACTCACCTTTTGTTTTCAGCACAGGGGGCCCCAGGCAATTCTAGGAAGGGGTAATGAATGATCCCCTGTTCCTCCATGGGTCTGTCAGGCATGTCTGCCACAGAAGGAAGCCCCCTGGGCATCCACTTGGCATTTGTTGCAGTCTGTTTTGTGGACCTGGTGAAGCCATCCATATATATATACACACACACACACACACACATATATATATATATATATATATATATATATACACACACACATATATATGTATATGTATGTGTATTTGTCTAGACTAAATTGATAGAGATAAAATTGCTGGGTCCAAAGTATTTACACACTTTAAATTGTCATAGATATTGGCAAATTGCCCTTCAAAAAATACTACTTAATTGGCACTCCCACTAGCAGTGTAGGAAAGGGATTAATTTATCCATGAACTTGCCAAGACTGGGTATTCTCAGTGTTCTAACATTTTATTAATATCATAAATGAAAATGGTATCTGATTATTGTTTTAATTTGTATTTAAAAATAGTGAGGTAGCATCTTTTTATATTATTGACCTTTATATTTCTGATTTCATAAGTTGCTCATTTCTGACCTTTGGCAACTGGTTTTATATTAGTATATTGCAGAGTGGAGTCCTTTTATAGATGACATGAGATTATGGCCTATTCTCTTTTGAGGGACAAGTAAGCCTTAGAGATTTATACTCACCATAAAATCAGTTCTTAAATGTTGTATTTGACGTCATTTTGAAGGGTCAAACAGAAAAGCAATGTTAGCCAACGACAATTGAGATTATTGGGTTTCGTAGTGATTATCGTTTGTGGGATTAACTTTTGATTTATTAACCACATGAAAGATAAGATAATGTAATCACAAAATCCAGGAACAGAAATAACATTTGGTCATCCACCATGGACAGTCTGGAAATAACTCCCTGGCAGATGGATAGTATGAAATTTTGCAAATGAGGTGTGTGTGTGTGCATGTGTGCACAGGTAAGTGTGTGTGTGTGCATATGTATGTATGCAGGAATGTGCATGTGCTTGCTTGATTTTGGATGTTCAGTAGAGGAATGGAGGGACACAATACTGTATGCCAGGGAATATTGGAATTTTCGTGCTGGAGGCATCTCCCAGAAGCAGGGACATGGTTACTTCCTGCCGGCCTCTGTAGTGCGCTATTATGGCCCTTAGTGTTTTAGAGTGGTGGTTCCAATGTGACAACTCTAATTCTGGGGAAGATTGCAATTCCATTCTGCCATCAAGCATTGTTTGGCTTGGTTTGGGCTATACTGGAACTGGAACTAGGTCAGGTATTTGCCCAGTGGCCTGGGGTGTGTCGTTTATAGTGGTGATCGTATCGCCACTTCCCAATAGCATCTTATGAGACAAAGGACATATCTAATTTAAAATTTCACAGTTACTGCCAAGTTGCCTACCGAAAGACTGCACTAATGAACGCACCTGTTAGCAGTGTTGGAGAGGGCTTTGCATACATCATCTCAATGAATCTTCAGATAATCTTGTAAAGTCATTAGATTCAGACTGTTATCTGGCATTGGCTATAGAATGAATGGTGGCCCCTAGAGTTGGACAGACATACGAGGTGATTTCAAAAAGTTTGTGGACAAATGAAATGAAAGGACATATTTATGTTGGTGCAAAAAAAAATTGAAATCCATGCATAGCTTTTTCATATGCACTTTCCACCAACAAGATGCTTTGTACAAATCTGTGGCCCTGAATCCCATTCTACTGAATCAAGCTCTGAGGCATTGAGAGGTTAAGTTACTTGCTCAAAATTGTTTTGTACAGCTGACAAAGCTGGGATTCCAGCCCAGGCTGTTTGACTCCAAAGTCAATGGGAACCGGTCCATGGCCATTTTGAATGCCTTAAAGCCACTTCTGTCCCTCTTAGTGAAGAGATAGAAGGAAGGCATCAGGATGCACTCAGGGCACTGCCATTTTTTCCATTCCTGAATAGAAACAGAAGCCCTGGAGCTCCAGTATTGTCTAGCTGGTCATCCTTTGTTAGTGCTTTTCAGTGAGATGCTGTCTCCAGAGACAGAGTACATCAGGTAATTTGGCTCAAGAAAAGCATTGGAGAAACAAATCACTATTGTGTGATGAATATAATAAGGCAATTAGGAAGGTGGTAATAGTTCTCTTTTGATTATATTAATGATTATTATGTTTGGCAAATTTCAGGTCCAAGGGGCCTTTTCCTTAGCCTATCCCTCCCTGCCCCCCACTAGGCACACACTTCTAACTGCCTCTCCAAACTGTCCATCTGGGAATACTAATCTAACTTTCACTATTAACCCAGGCAAAATACAATGAGGAAGAAACCCTTCTGCCAGAAGAAATCACATGCTAGTGTCAGATAGAAATTGTTTTTGTATATGTCTACTATTTTTGCCTTTTGGCGCCAGCTCATAATTATATTTTGTATAATCTGAATTTTAATATATTGCCAAGGAAGATGATAAACCTTTTTTTCAATTGAAATTTCACTTGTTTTCTTTTTCCTCTCTTCCAAATTTGAACAGATACACTTTCACTAAAAGGGAAAAAGTTGGATTTTTGTGGACGAGGTGACAGATATGTAAGCTTGACCAACACCATTCCTGAACTCAGCCGATTCACAGCATGCATTGATCTGGTGTTTATGAAGGACAATTCAACTTATTGGATAGCCTTTTCGTATATTACCAATAACACCCTCCTGGGCAGAGAAGACATAGACCTTGGACTTGCAGGAGACCATCAGCAGCTGATACTGTACAACTTGGGCAGGACCTTTACTATCAGTTACCACCTGACTCCATTTCAATGGCATACAATATGCTTGATATGGGATGGTGTGAAGGGCAGATTAGAGCTCTTCCTGAATAAAAAAAGGATACTGGAAATAATGGATCAACCACAAAACTTGACAAATAATGGAACTCTGATATTAGGGCACTTTCTCAAGAATGGAAACAGCCAACCTGATAGTGTCGTGCCCCGCTTTATTGGCAGTTTGTACTACTTCCAACTCTGGGACCACATCCTGGAAAATGAGGAGTTTATGAAGTGTTTAAAAGGAAATGTAGTTAGTTGGGAAGAAGATGTTTGGCTTGTCAACAAGATCATCCCCACTGTTGACAGGAGACTGCGCTGCTGTGAGTAACTTAACAAATGTTCCCCTAAGCACGAAGAGCATCCATGCAGTACTCTTCTGGTCGCTGCTATGAATAGTTCACGTCTAGATCAAGGCTCTGTCTTCCTTACAGGGGCCCAAGGTTGCCACAGTTTTGGCATCTACTTTTTAATGTAGAGAAAATGCTATTTTCTTTTACAAATTTTTATTTTGGCATAATTTCAAACCTATAGAATAAACGCAAGAATAAGATAAAAGAATTCATATACTCTTCACCTAGATTCACCCATGGTTAACACTTTCCTATGTGCTTTATTATCCTCCTTATCCCAGCCTCTTTTTTTTTCCTCTCCCTGTCCCTACACACACACACACATGCACATGCACACACATGCAAACATGCAGCTTATTTATTTCGAAATCATTTGCAAGTAAGTTGCAGGCAGAATTTCTCATTATCCCTCATTAACTCAGTGTGTACTTCACAAGAATCGGGAGTTCTCTTACTTAAACCACACTACAACGACCGAATCAGGAAAATTTAACACTGCTACAATATGAATATCTAATTCACAGTCCATTTTTGTATTTAGCCAACTCATCTAACAATTTCCTTTATAGCTATATTTGCTTGATCCTGGAGCCAATTCAGGATAATGCGTTGCCTTTAGTTATCATGACTCTAGAGACTTTAATCTGGAACAGATCTTCAGTCCCTCTTGTCTTTCATGACCCAGGCATTTTTCTTGTGTGTACAGTCCAGTTATTTTGTAGAACATCTCTCAATTTGGATTTGTCTAATATTTTCTCATGCGTAGGTTTGGGCTAGGCATTTCTGGCAAGAATACTTCAGAAGTGATGTATTCTCAGTGTATCACACCAGTAGACACTTTAATCTGGAACAGATCTTCAGTCCCTCTTGTCTTTCATGACCCAGGCATTTTTCTTGTGTGTACAGTCCAGTTATTTTGTAGAACATCTCTCAATTTGGATTTGTCTAATATTTTCTCATGCGTAGGTTTGGGCTAGGCATTTCTGGCAAGAATACTTCAGAAGTGATGTATTCTCAGTGTATCACACCAGTAGACACTTGATGCCAGTTTTTCCCATTCCTCGTGTTGATAACTTTGATCATGGGATTCTGGTGATGGTTGCCCAATTTCTGCGCACTGTAAAGTTTTTTTTTTTTCTATTTCTTGACTAATTTTTGGGGAGATATTTATTTCTTTATCTCTTTTTTTAAACATTTAATTACTGTACATCTTTAAAGCATACAAAATGGACTTTCTAGGCATGAGTATATTGCAAATGAGTCCAGTCAAAGATATTATCATACATATTATCATCAACAGTCAACTTTACATTTTTGTGTCCAATAAATGTTTTGTTACCCCGCCCCCCACCCCTTGGTTCCCGTCCTCCCATCCTGTGGAAAGATATTTGGAGGCCTTGTATATATCCTCTTCTTACCAAATAGTTTTACATATATTGGTAAATCTTGCCTGAATAATTATTTACTACAATGATTGCAAAATGATTATTTTTAAAAATGAATCATTTTTCTATTTTTACTAGTTGCAGTCTATTGTAAGGAAGAGACTTTCCTTTTTCCACATTAACTTATTCATTCATTTGTTGTACATTTACTTATATGAACATGAACTCTTGGATTCTCATTCTATTAAGTGGGTTACACTGTTAGTATCATTTATTTTGATGCTCAAATTGGCCCAGATTTAGACAGTGACAGCCCTTTGATCTGACTCTTGTGTCCTTTTAATACATTCCCAGAATTCTTTGAATTTTTCCTTACTTTGTGGCACAAGATATTCCAGGCTCATTTTGTACTTCTTCCACCCGGTGCAAAATCAACCATTTGGGGGCCAGCAGGTGGCATAGTGGTTAAGGCTCTGGACTCCCACATAGTTGACCAAGTTCTGGACCCAGTGGCTTGAAATTCACACCCAGTGTGCATGCAGGCATGTCCAAAATCCCAGGACGAGAATGGAGGAGAAAGAATTGCAACATGGCCATCTCCCCTCCCCAGAGTGTGATTTCTCATTTTCCCTCTCAGTGTCTCCCTCTGGTGAACACATATGCCAATGGCAAAACGCTTAAATAAAAAATAAAAATTAAAATAAAAAAAAAAAGAATTACCCATTTTACCAAAGAGTCCTGGTTCTTTTTAGTGGGCAACAGAATTTACACTCCAATTCCCTTTTTCTTGTGAGAGCAGTGATACTGTTAGAGAACTGTTCAGAACGCAGTTCTTGTAAGAAAAATGGCTTCCTGAAAGTACACATTTTCTCCTCTTCAGTGTTGAGAAGAAAATACAGGATTGTTTTCTCTGTACAATTCCATTCTCCCCTCAAATCCAATCCTTCTTATCATCAGCAGCAGTAGTAGTCCTGAGGTGGGGAGTAAGATAATAGCATCAGAATTTTTTTTTTCATTTCCAAAAATGTTTGCTTATTTTTATTTATTTATTTATTTATTTATTTATTTATTTATTTATTT